CCAAGGATGTTCCAAATGCTACGTAAGGGCACTTGGGCAGCGCATTTGAAAGAAATGGAAGTAAAACGCGTCAAGATGGCTAAAGAAGGCAATGAAGCGTATAATCAGAAAGTAAGTGAAAGTATTCTTAGCACTTAGGCTTACTTTCAAAATATTCTTCTATAGTGAAAATGCACCAGATATCAATAAACTCTGTTGACTTACAATGGTTTTAACTTTACACAAAAGCTTCAACAAGAACAACGATATGTTTAAGTTGTACAACTATGATGACGTGGAATATATTGGTATCATCACGGTTGGATCTCCGGATCAGTCTTTTAGAGTAAGCAATTTAAATTTCTAATAGTCTGAGAAGTCACGCCATGTCTAGCTTAGGTTGTTCTTGACACTGGTTCAAGTATATTTTGGATCCCAGATTACACATGCGCGGCAAGCACACCGGAGGTATGCGATGAATCTGCTTGCGACCCGGGAGGTGAGCTACATTTCAAAGATACTTTATGAAGTCTTTTTTGCATGACTTGAATTTCATCGCCAATTTCTCCTTGTGTGATAGATAATATCTGAGAAAGAATGTAATGAATGCTCAGAGCCAGACTCTCACACAAACGAAATCAAAAATTTGCAGTGGCCTGCCAGGTGTTCTGTCCTGAGAAGGTTTGCTGCAAAAAAGAAGAGATTGTACGTACACGAAATCCATGTAGAGGAAAGAACTTTTTTGCATCAACTAATTCGTCTACCTACATTCCAATGAGCGGAAGGTGGAGAATGTTTGTAAGAGCATACTCATTAATTGCTTGTGCTTAACGACACGATAGCTGCTAGTTCATTGTCTTTCAGTACGCACAAGGTAGCGCAGAGGGCTTTTATGGGAACGATACAGTTCGATTTGGAGAAGTTGGAACTAAACAGCTTGAAGTTCACGGTTCACAGTTCGGTCAAGCAGAAAAAATTTCAGATGACTTCACCGATGTAAGAGTTTGAGTATCCAAATCAAATCGCTCCAGATGAAATAAGATTTCCCAGCGTGATTTTGGAAGCACTGCATAGCAAACGATTTATGGGACATCAAGAGTGATGCAATAATACATTTTCGAAAGAGCTGTACAAAATTATTGAGAAATGGTGATGCCTAAATTTTGATCTTCCGTTATATCTAGTTGTGCTAAGCGACTTCCTTCTCGGAAGTTATCTTTCTAAACTTTTGGAGCTGACGCGATCAATTTTTCATAGTGTCACTGTCCTACCGAAATGATATTCTATCGTAACGAATGTTTTATCATTTACAAAAAATGTGTTTGTCGTTACAACCTCTGATACAACCATGCAAAAGTAGACGACGTAGTGATTTTTATGACTGAGAAGTAGATTCAAATGCGAATATATAGAAGATCATGAGCACTCCTATCTCTCCATCGATTTGCTGCAAGTGCCGCTCCTATGATTAACCTGATGTTTAGATGATAAATGGCAGGTATAAATTACTTTATTAAAGCTGTATTTTACTCGGGATATATTCTTAAAAAAATCATGGCGGAGTCAGTACATTACATCAATGTTTAAACCTATCATACTTTGCAAACGTTATTTGAAGTATTCAAAAAGAACCGTGCCACCAGCTCAAAGGTTGCTAGCACTTAACATCTTGATACCCGGCTAACTAGGCGGAAAATGGCGTTGTTCAAATAGCGTCGAGAAAATTTGTTATTTGTACGCGCAAAATTCTGAAAACACAGCAATCTTGAACGCTGTCGAGGTGCAGCGTCAATTAACGTTTTTAGCAGTCACTTTAACAATATCCATAAATGTTAAAGTGATCAACAGCAGTGGTGCATGAACTCCTTGCGACTAGCTTGATGACAAGGCAAAGCATAAATAATAGGTTAGGTGTAAAAAAGTACGATTATTTTATGCCGTGCGTTTTATTCTCATAAGCACACTGGAAGGTGAGTCGTAAAGGCTTCGCAGTTAGTGTGGAGATACAATATGCGTAACAATATCCTAGGCCAAAACAATGTTTTAAATTGCAGATTAACATATTGCTTCTGGCTCCTGCGTCGCCGCCTAATACTTCTACTGTGAACTTCCTGCGAGTGATGGCATCAAAGTCTTCTCCTGCAACGAAAACTACTATGTCTACGGGCTTAAAGAAATGAGAGCCAAGATAAAGGAACGCTTTTAGGCTGGAGTCACACCCGCAAACTAGTCAATGCTAAGAACTTGAGGAGAGCAATTTGTATCAACTGTAACTCATAGAAATAGATTGGCTGTTAATAGAAAGTTTTAAGCCCTGACACGCGAGTACGATACATTTGGAATTTACGCATAGATGAGTAGAATTACGTCAATAAATCGTATTCAAGGAAAGAGGAAGGTTAAAAGCTTCAGAAAAGGCCCTTGCAATAATCTTCACATTTTCAGCTGCACTTTTTCGGTCAGACTGCCACTCAGTTCCTAGTTATCTTATGTTCACCCTCAAAGCCGTCTTCAACATGCATGTGCGCTGAAAATTTGAGTTGAGCAAGTGCTCTTGATGATGTTGCCCTTACACTGAATATTACCTCTTGTCTTTCCAAAAATGTTGGATTAGAGCTCATTTTTTAAAAAGAGAGAAATGATGATTCCATCTCTTCAATTGATCAGCGAAGGAAAAGCGCAAGTTTTTAAAAAGAAATTTTAGAGTCGTTTTCTCCTACACGAGTTTAAACTGCTTCAGGAACCTCTAGATGGCGTACTTGGAATGGCATTTGCGGCACAGATGTTCAGAGGGCCTCTTCCCATTTTTGAACGCGCATGGAAACTCGGCCTAGTTGACCCCATATTCACCTTCTACATGAAGCGTGGCGACGGATACAGTGAGTTTTTTAAGCATAGTTTAGGGACAATCGATTCATATAGCTATACCAAATATGCTTGGGCTTTATCTTGATGTACTATAGCAGCAAAAATTCTCTAAAGTTTCCTGCCTGGTTTGCTTACTAATAATTGATGGGGCTTCTATTCAAAA